GTATTTTGGGAATGTTGCAATGAGGGACATGTTGCAGTGTTGCAGTGGTCTTTGGAGAGGGACATCATGTTGTGAGAGTGGAGGGACGGCGCAGGAGTTGAAGACCCTCGATGAGATGGATTGATTCTGTGAGTGGAGTGGTGGGAATGAATGTGTTTGAGACGGCGAGGCTTGCACAGGATAGAACGACGTTTAGGGCTCTTGTATATAGGGTCGAATGAGTCGCAAGCGACTCGATGGCACATAACAACAACAGCAGTAGAGAAAGTCTCTGATGACATCAGCAAAGGAGTAATAGGTGTTCAGTGAATGCCCTTCAGGACCAGATGGTCTTGTGCCAGCTAGACTTACCAGCAGTAGCCATGGCTGAAGCAGAGAGTCAGAGAGCCAACGTGAAATGAAGTTGAACTGCTGACTGCTCCCCTCCATAGACAGAACCAGAACTAAGCTAAGAGTCTTTGCCCAAGTTTGTTGGACAACTGGTGGGTAGATGGGGAGGCAGTATTGTCAGGACTGAGAACTTTAGAACAGTGGCCTTAAACGACAAGGCTCAAGGCTGTGGTACCTATAAGCGCGTATTAAAAGCTGTCTTGATTGTATTCTGTTACTGATGTACATTATAACCTTTTAACTTCCCTAATATGGTTCTTTGTGGTCTGTGAGATAGCGCATCAGATTTTGGACTCTAACATTAAGATTGGTGTTGACAAAAAAAAAAAAGATTGGTGTTGACATGAGTAGAAAGAGTTTGGGAGCATGGGGAACATGTCTGACCTCATGGGAATTGGTTTTGTAGTATTGATGCTGTTGATCAGGCCAGCTCGCCATTGCAAAGATACTAAAGGTCAGATATGGCCATCCCCATTTGGCCTTTGCTCTTTTTACACATTTTTAATAGGATCTTCTTTGTAAAAACCTTTCTTCCTTTTGATTAGGATCTCCTATTTCGTATAACTTATATTACTCCTGCTTCCAAGCTTGTTTTAATCAGGGAGTGCCACCAAACGCTGTCCACCATGGGTGACCATTAATGCATTTGACATGTCGGTGTCACAGTGTTCAGCTTCACAGCAACCACAGGTTACCACTGTATGGCAAGTGGACACACCAGTCCTATATGACCTAGAAGATAGCACTGATACTCTTTTTAAATTTTGAGGGTGTTAACTTTAGTGTTTTATTATCTGTTTGTGTTATTAAGAAGTCCAAAGCTCTTCTTAACCTTTGTTTTTGCCATGTGGCTCCTTACCCTTAGCTCCAAGTAGAAAACTAAAACTATTGCCATTGAATTTATTCTGACTCATAGTGATCCCATGCAACCGAGCAGCAATGCCTGCTAGGGTTTCTAAGGCTGTAAATCTTTACAAAAGCAAACTTCTCATTTCTGCATAGTAACTGATTGAGTCAAACTACTATCCTTTTAATTATTGGCCAAGTGTCTGATCCATAGCATGACCTCTCCAAATCCCAAACCAAAACTAACCTACTGCTGTT